GGAGGAGTGAGTAGAAAGTTGGTGGCGTGAGAGGCCTTGGAAGGGTAGGCGGGACTGCTGCGCACTTGCCGCCGCTGGCTGCTCTGACATCTGTAGGTCGCCGTGACTTGCACCTCCTGTGACACCTGCGAGTCAGTGACCTGCGAGCGCTCCAGTTCACTGGGCATACAACACTTCAATTCTTCAGCTCTATTTCTGCCCGGGAAATGATACGTTGTGTGTATGCTGCAGTTTCTGGTCATCATCATTGATCTAATCATAACTTGATGCATCATTTGTTCACTTGTTAGCTGCAAGCATGCTTGTTTGCTGTGGATTTTGCGCTCCATTTCGAATTTCAAACATCGCCGAATAAAAAAAGCGCTATATATATAACTGCATAGTCTACTCGGTACCATAGGGATACTCACAAGTATTAGTGCGCAGTGTTGAGCAGTGATACGCGCGTGTTGTTTATAAAGCATTGCACGGCACCATATAGGGACACCCACAAGTATTAGTGCGCAGTGTTGAGCAGTGATACGCGCGTGTTGTTTATAAAGCATTGCACGGCACACACGTCGTCAGACCGGTAGGTAGTTACGCGGACTGCGGGGTCAGAGGTCCCGGGCGGGGTGAGGGGGGCTGCAGGTGTGGACCGGATTTTTCGTATCGATAGCATTCTCAGAGGGGAGGGGGAGGGTATCATGCCCATGGAGAACAGGTGCTGTGATCTTGCGTGGTGCGTGCTGCTTCTTACCTCACTACACTCGCTGCTCTGCTGCTCCATGCTGCACGCCATGATTCCTTAACACAATTCCTTTAGGATAAAGATAGACATAGATATATTTTATTTATATTTTACGAGTTTTGCACACAATGCGTCGACATGATTGGCTTGTCAGTTGTGCATATGAAAATGATGTTATTGACAAAATGATGTAAAAATGTTCATCAGCTGTTTTTTTCTGGTCTCTGATCGTTTTGACTCGCTTACAGAGTATTTATGCATGATCAAATATTATTCAATTCAGTATTTATGCCTTATTTCTTTATGGAAGGCAGCTTGCAAAGCGTGCAGCATAACACTATGCACGGCATGCAGCGCATTAATATCGATATTATCAGTCTTTCTGCTCAGCCGTTCCTATTTTGATGTGTGGCAAGTGTTCCGATGCCCCGCCCGTTTTCCTAATTTCTTCATTTAATTCATAAAGGGTTTGAATTATTTCTGATAAGACGCGTATGTGCTTGTTTTTCATCCACCGCGTCCATGATGCTATAACCGAGATCCTGGATCTATTTTTATTATTTAATTTAGTTAGTTATCTGAGTACCTAGTAAGAATTTCCTCGTTCACTGTGAGCGGAGCTATCAAGAATATATATTTTTTTCTACCCATCAATTTCAGTAAATCTGTTGTGCATGATAGTTTGTATGAAGGCCGGCGCTGTAAATATATCGGGGCTACTCAAGCTACGTGCAGATACCTATCTTGCCAGGATGTTATGGTCACAATTTTGTTTTAGTGGCAGAATCATTGATCACCTAACGGGTGTAAAAATAATAAATTTGAAATAAATTCTAAACTTATTATAAATATTTTTTTCTAAACTGGAACACTTTCATTCCGTGAAAATATAAAAATTGGAGTTGAATAAGGTGTGACTGATATATTGTGGGCGCCATCACGATAGCAGGGAGGACGATCTGCTGACCTAAACAAGCCTTGTAGTAACTATAAGGGACAACGCGGGGCTAACCTGCTAGTTTATGATAATATCATAAGTAATATGTCGTAAATGGTTAAAATTGCAATACTCGTGTGGGCGGTGAGGATAACATTAATACAGTACCTATCTACACTACAGTACCTATCTAACATTAATACAGTACAGTCCTACCTCAACTGACGAACATTGAACTCAGTTGAGGAGAACTACAGCAGCGTTGTCACAACGCTGCTCCTGCTGTTGTGACCGGCCAAGACTTCACTACTGCCACTTGTTTACATCGATTTTTGGGGTAATTTAGTCTCAGGAACAGTCTCGCATCAAGGCTCTTCTCTATGATAATCATTGTGATGTGTAATTGCAAGGTTGTTTTTTATTTACTTTAGCTACTCAGCAAATACCATTAAATTTTTGGTGCCCATCATTTCTCTTCAACTCAACTTGAATTTGCGTTGAATAAGAACATTTATTTTTCTATTTGTTGGACTGATCTTATCACTCGTATCGAAACGTTTATGTACTTGTATTATCATTGGTCGTGTGCGAGCGAATCATCCCTTGCTGCAAGTCTGGATACGTGTTTATAACGTTGTGTCGAAACATTTTGGCACAACGAAACATTTTGAGACTGCGCCTTTGCTTTTACATCGGCGCGAAAATTAGTCTCCACCAAAACGGCTCGCGTCTGCGGTACCAACATAACATAGGTCTATTGATTTTATGCTTAGCGGTGCGATGCTTCAACATTTCATTCTAATTTAGGTCGTGGTACATTTCCTCGTATTTTTCGTTTCCGAATTATGTTTGACGGCGACTATGATAATAATTGACGTATGTTCGTTCGTGGTGAATCAAAGTTTACATGTTTGGGAAGATGTGCCATTTGCCGGTTTGGTGGATCTTATGCTTGGCGAGAGGGAAAGAGGCAGCATTGTAGCTATATGGATGGGTCCTACTTAAATGGCCTTACCATTAGACGTTTGATTTTTGACCATGTTTGTCTCATCGCCTAAATGTAATCGCACAGTTTGCTCCAGGCTTGGAATTGCCATGAGACAATGGGAGACTCCTTAATTGTGATACTGTGTATGTATGAGGGTTGCGTGCCGTATCGTGAGAGTGGACGATGAACTACCTGTTGTTTGGGGGGCGGGGGTGTCGCTGAGGGCAGTGCGGGTGGGGGGGTAGCAGGTCGGGCTGGCAGACATGCCCTGCAGAGGGCAGCGCTCCTTCACGTTGTTCCTCTCATTGAACCTTCTTATGTATTTCCACATTGATTGCACACATTAAATTAATTCTGATGTATCACATTGTAGCGGTACAAACCATATTTATGACTTTATGATGAGTTTAGGACTTCTTAGTCCTCGGTCACGCTGATGCGCCGCATTCGTCGTCCTCCGTCTTCGAGTCGTCGCTAGGCAGGTGACCCCGCCCTCGGGTCGCTTGTAACGTTGGACGTGTTCCGTCTATTTGCCCTCCTTTGGGCCAGCTGATGCAAGATGCTGTTTCCCATCCCACACATGCTGCAGAATAATAGAACATGCAGAGTGCAGTTAAGCATCATTTGTTACGGTACCGTTACGGCCGGGCTAGTTCACGCGGTAATGATACGCTGAATTCGCTTGGCAAGTACAGAATGTTGGTCAGTCGTATTATGTGAAAGATGAACTCGAAGTGCGCATGGCATTTGATGATACTTGCGACGATCATGATGATACTTCAACCCATAAACAAGTGACCCATAAATGAGTGGCAGGATATTTATCATTTACAAATAAGAGTAATTGAGAGAACGCTGTTAGTGGGAAAGTATTTTAAATGAATTATACGGCACAACGAAATCAAGATCAAACAACTGCCGGCATGCATAGTTTGGAGCGCTAATTGTACGTTTAAAATCGATAATTTCACTACCTACATGCAGTTGCAGAGGTAGGCAGTAGTGCACTACATGTAGCGGTAGCGGCACTACATGTAAGGCAAGGTAGTGGTAGCGCCGGATACATATTTAAGTAGCGATACGAGGCTTTGCCGCTACAGCGCTACCGCTACATTTATAGATAAAGCCTTTAGATTTTACTTAATAGTATTAAAGATTATTTAAAAACCAGCATGATACATACATAATATAAATTACAGAATATAACTGTATGAAAGATTTTGGTGTAATTTTGTCAACCTCATCCTGTTACTATGTGTCAACATGTTAGTTGTTACTTGTTAAGTTGTTACCAGTTACCACATACAGGTAGTTTTTCACATTTCAGGTGGCTTACAGTTATTTTTTCACAGTTATTTTTATATTTCACCTTCCCTACATGGATGTCTACTTTAATCTACCAATTTAAAAAATAATCCACATGTATAAAAAGACTGATTTTTTATATGTATATGTAGATAATTTTTTAGATTGGTAGATTAAAGTACACACCCTTGTAGGGAAGGTAAAACATAAAAATAACCATAACTTTTATTTACTATATCTAACCCATACTAGTTCGGTTAGGTTAATTGCAATAAAGTTGCATTGATATGTTTTGAAAATGTTTCATTATCATTAAATGTTTATGAGTAAATCTCAATAGCAGAACAATAAATATTTAGAGATTTCCAATAATTTTAGCCATTGTACCGGCTAATGTAGTGGTGCTACATTTTACTGTAGCGGTAGCAGTAGCACTCGCTACAATCTTGGGTGTAGCTTTAGCAGTAGCGCCTGCTACATGTAGAGCATGTAGCGGGAGCGCCGCTACATTTCAAAGTAGCGCTGCCCAGCTCTGGTTATATATATATTTCTATACAAATTTGTAATTCATATGATGGGATTTCAGGCGCAAATTAATTATATGTTTCATTGAATAACAACTCATTTCGATTGAGAGAACTTTGGATGTGATCCTTGGTTTGTTTTATAATTGAAGACATTAATTTGATGCGTGTTGGTTATTGCTGCACCAGCTGATAGGATTTATCAAGTATATCACTGCCAAGCAATGCTGGGCTAAACTTGTGCCCTTGTTAGAATACTTTGGATGTGCCATGTTTATAGGTGGGCAGTTGATGCCCATTGAAGTGCTGCACTATTTTCTTCAGCAACATTAATGCCAACATTGCTCCTGTCCTTAGCTAAACAAGTCATTTTGTTCATAGATCATAGATGTGTTAGTGAGACTACTAGTCTTGCAGTCTGTGAGACTAGTAGTCCAGCAGTCCGTGTGACTAGTAGTCCAGCAGTCCGTGTGACTAGTAGTCCAGCAGTCTGTACTCTTGTCTCTTGCTCCACAGAACGCAGGGCCAGCGCCGTCGCCACTTGGACAGATGGCCCCAAACGATGGCATGGGGCCAGGTGGGCCCATGCCTCCAGGTTTCTTCCCTGTAAGTACTTGGCTATCTTATCATTTCTGGAATATGGTAAGTAAATCAACACAACAGAAAATACAAAACAATCTTGAAGAGTAAATGCATTCAGTAAAGATTACTAACAGAGTCAAGGAAATCCAATGAAATTAACACATGGCTAAAGCCCATATTTTTTCCTTAGGTTGTACTAATGAGACTTCTAACGCTTGAGCGCCTGATATTGTCACAACTGTTTTGAAATTTTCTCTCTGCAATTTAGCATTTTAAACTGATTATGGATGAGAAAATTTATTTGCACAAATTCAAGCACCCATCAAGATTTATTATCAATTCATTAAGTAATTTATTTACACCACCACATCTGTCTGAAGTGATTATCATTTTAGTTATGATACCCTCTGGCACACATTTTTTTTAGTTTTTTATTAATTGTTATATCAGTGTTAATGTTGAGCTGAGTGTGTTCAATTGCTAAACTCAGTATACCTAATAGTAATGCTCTCAACTATCAAGTAAAGCTTTGCTTTAACTCCCACAATAAACAGTCGCAGTGCTCCTCTCTTCCTCAAAGTATCACATTTTCTCCAATGGTAAAATAAGAAAAAGCCATTAAAAATATCTGATATTAAATTCAATGAACTTTTATTTGACACTCTCAATAACTATCTTCTTGATGAATTGACTGCTTTGAAGAGCATTTCAAGACATTCTTTAAGAATCTGGATGGGCTTTCCTAACCCGATTTATGTGAATGTTCTGAGCTTTCTCAAAAGCTCTGCCAATTGAGCAAAAAAAAATTTTTTAAGAGCTTCTATGACAATAATGTCCAAGTGCAAAGCCCAGAACTACCAAATAATGATCCTTTTTTCTTATGTTGAAAGGTAAGTTGTGTTGCCAAGCTATTAATGTGTACTTTGCTCCCTGCCATATATTATATCCTTTGGCCAGGTGCTTATTTTTGATACCTCATAGATGTGCTCCATGATTTCCTGTGAATTTGTAATAGTTTTAACCTTAGTTATTATTTGTGGCTTATGTTTATTAGTGCTTGCTTCATGGGTACTTTGCATCAACCTCAGACCCCATGCCATTTCCATGAATGTTTGCTGCACCACTTCAACACTCGGCCACTCAATGTTTAAATGTTCTGCTTTCTATTATTAGTTTTTGAGTTTTCAGGAAATTTTATACTAACCATGAAGGCAGCCATGCAGGTTTAACAGATATGAATTGTTTGGTTTGCTAAGCAGTTTCTTTTGATATTATATAGTTCAGGGCAACTGGTTGCTAAAATTGGGCTTTGCAGTTTTTTTATGCAATTAACATGGTTTGGAAAAGCTTACTTAAAATACTAACTACTAACAACAACAAGACCATCATAAGTTCCTCCTGCATTGGTCATCTGATGATTTTTTTGTTGAATTTTTTATTGCTCCTTTGAAAGCTATCAAGCCAGTCAAGTTCATTTCAGTCACTCTTAGAGCATCTGTGCACAAAACACTGATTTTAAATATGAATTTAATTCATGTTTCCACACATTTATGCTATTTTGTTATAACAAATTTTCTTGTCTCCTGTAAGACGATCTAAAAATTTCTTACCATGTTTTTTTGTTATGCAAAGCATTTGTTTATATTGCTTCTCAAGCATCCAAAATTTTAAAAAGAGCTTGAGATGATAAAAATAATTTCTTACTGCCATCTGACCTGTATGCTAAAGATGCTCATGGAATTTTTTTTACCTTGCAAAGCATAATTGAGATTCCTTGTGGAAATTACTGCCAAGTTGTTATTTTGTGAGTCAATTGTTAACTAGCTAATGACCTCTGTTGTGAGTGTACATCAACATCTGCCTGGGCTGCTTGCTCATGTTTGTAGTAACCTGCATCCTTGCAACCCCGACTCACAATTCATTACAGACCCCTGGTATGCGTCCCTCCCCTGGTCCCCCCCTTCCCTCCCAGGCATCTCCCCATCATCCTTCTGGGGCTCACAGTCCCCTTGTCAACTCCCAGGTAAGTTTAATCATCAATCAAGAGGCTTCATGGGCAACTCTTACATTTATCACTTGCCAAGTAAAGACTGAGAACAAGTTTTGCTTGCCTGAACAAATCCACTGTGCTGCATACTGTTGTAGGTTATTCCACATCAACACTAGAGGGTGCTTGTAGAAAATTGACACAGACATTTATGGTGTTTATGGAATGATCTGCACTTGTGAATTCGTAAGTTGCATACAGAAATACCAACTGTTTAGCAGCTCTTGAGTTACAGACATTTTTTTCTTGTCAGGGCATTGTAATCACTTTGAAATTATGCCATTTCTCACATGTCACCTCCATATCTCACCGAATATCATTTCAAATCTATTAATCCTATCATTTGTGTGATGACATGTCAATTCTAGTCTTGGTACAACTTGATTCAGGTAAGATAATTTAATTTGAATGCACTGCTTATCTTCCAGCTCACTAATCTGCATTACTGCTACCATTGAAATTAAATGATGTGCTCTGAAATATATTTGTAAAATAAGTGAATCACTTTCTTGCTTTAGCTCATAAAAAAATGAATGTTTTCAATTTTCTGTACATATTCATCCTAATTTAAAAGCTTTGTCAGTGGGACAAATTAAGGAATATTATTGCTGTGTCACTGGTAAATTGATTGAAATACTTGCATGATGTTGCCCTGTTTAATTTGTAAAGATTATAGACATGGATAAATATTTACATATGGTCTTTGAAAACTACTTATATAAAACCAACTTACTAAAGGAATTTATTCCCCTAAGAATAATGGCTTGTCGGTGCACACTTACCTGAGCTCTGTGCTGCTCTGCCTTATTTCCATTTTAAGAATGTCATGCTCACCATTATATGCTGTTGAAAGTTTTGTTGTTTTTTCTGCTTGCTTTCTGATTTCATATAATTATATGTGCTTTTGTGCTAGTCCTTTTTTCTGTGCATTGTTGCCCTAAAAAAATGGAGAATTGGTATTGGATTGGAAGTTGATTAATTGAGAGAAATAAAGCTAACATTTTCTCTCAATGAAAAAATGTTTTAACAATATTCCATCTCGCTTGTCAATGTTAAGGATTTTATAAATTGACTAGTAATTTATTTCAAATACCCTAAGATGCCAGACTTTATGAGATGCAAAATTGAATGGAGTATTCCTGATACAAATAAAAACTTCAGCTTCCCAACTTTTGAATGGATACTCGTATAGTGATTAGTATTTTATAATACAATCCCCCTGAGAAAAATCCTTTTTCAATGAATGATGTGTTTCTCTGCTTTGGATGTGAATAAATAAATGGTTAGCCTCTACCACTGCAGTGAAGTGTGAAAATTTTTGATGACACATTATTTATTTTTCAGTGCCAATTTTTGCAATATTTTCTTCAAATCAAATTCTTATTAGTTAAGTTATGAAGAAAATATATTTTAAATGTTGCATATTCATAATAATGAATGTTTAAATGCATATTCATAATAATGAAATGATTGAAATCATTTGCGTAGTTAGACTGAAAATGGTATGCATTATGCACGTGTAATGTTAGTTTTGTTTTGTGTGCAGCCATTCATGACACCACGGTACCCTGGTGCCCCACGGCCGGGTGTTAGGATGCCTCAGATGCCCAATGACTTCAATGGAGTAAGTTGCTCTTCTCTGATGTACTTGACTATGCTCTTATTTATAATATCTCTCTTTTAGCTTGTGAACTTCCCTAGAAATTCAATACATAATAAATAAAACACCTGTCATGAATACATTAATCTATGTTATGTTGGTTATGGCAATCTTTTATCATTTCAATGAATATGTGGGCAGCTATTAGCTATACAAACATCTATGTATTGTAGGTAATGGCAAAAAAACCTCATATGAAGCTCTTCTTTCTTAAATTAATTTCTGCATTAAAACGTTCAAATAAAGCAATAAAATACAAAAAGGGTTTGTATGCCCTAGTTATTGCACAAGTTGAATATATTCTGAATTGAAACAAACATAACAACTAATTAGCTGCTGATTTATAGCACTTCACCAGCATTGAATGATTCATATTAAATAATTTGTAACTACTCTGCATTGTTGTAATTATTATTTGAAAAACACTCATCAATCATCTTCTCTGTCTCAATATTTTGTAATGTTGCTTAATTTCAAAATAGAATGATCACTTTTTGAAGTTGTATTATTCAGTCTTTGAAATGATCAGGGTAATAGTAATGATAGTCTAATGAGTAGACTGAGGTATTTCTTTACATATAATGGAGGGCATCAAATGTTTAATTCTTATTACCATTAGGTTTATTCAATGACAAAATTTTAAATTGAAGAATGTCCTTTTAAATGAGCCTTTGTGATGATGTGACAATAAATAAGTAGTTAGTATTACGATTAGGTTTATGATATCTTAATGGTTTGCTACAACAGTTCTTCTTTTTCTTTTCAGCCGCCAGGTGGGTGATGTGGTGAACACTTGTCATGGTGTGGTGAACAATAGTAAACACTAAGTATGGGGTGGTAAGGAGAACTAGCCAAACCCTGCATTCAACATTGCCATAAATTCCCTCTCCAGTTGGTCACTTAGCCTCAATAAGTTATTAATGTGCCTTGCAAAGTTGGTACTATACAGGCTAATGTGAGTCACGTGCTAACTTGGGTTTTGCAAGATCAAAAGTCCAACTTGTAGTATGAAGGTTTCTAAGAGAACATTTTTCACAAAAAAAATAATAAATACAAATCTGCATCAATTGCAAGCACCTTTTTTATTTTACATAATGCAAAACAAGAATAATAGAACCACATGTTATGTTGGAAAGATTTTAATTATCTCATTGATATATACTTTCTATAATCTGCTAGAACTCAAGCAATATTACTAGACTGAAAAAGGGTGAATTTCCAATGTGACCCATCTTGTAACATTAGCTTCTGACTTATTTTCATTTAAAGATATAATATTTGTTCATTTCGTGGTATTGCAAATACCTAGTGTTGATTGATCTATTCCTGACTCACAACTGTACTTTACTTACCTATACATCATAATGAAGCAGACTGGGTAATTTAATGAAAAATTGAGTATTGGTTGGTAATGGTTTTTCAGTGCAACTGTAAAATTTGATCTTTTCTCACTGGAAAGTTGTATGACTGCTTGGAGATTACTAAAAATGTTGCCGTAGGGCAGGTTTGATTCAGTTTACTCTTCTGCCATTGAATTGAAGCTAATTTTACAGATGTTTATGTTGTCAGTTTTTTCAATGTTATGGACGATTATTATATTATAAATAATGATAATCATCAAAAATGGTGATTATGCTTACATCTTAGAACTGTATTCTATGTGCAATTTTTGTTACAATTTCAAATTGGCAATATATTAAGATGATATTAATACCTCGTCACATGCTGATCCACGAGTTGTTTGCAAGTTGGTGATATAAATGTGGCATCAAGGCCCATGTCCGTCACTAGATCAAGAGTCAAGGCCTCACTTGTGAGCTGCCATCTGCTTGGTGACTAACTGATTATTCATTTCGATCACAATTTATTTATGAACAAACTGAGAGCTGCAAAATTCTTGTGCATTAAGTTCATGAAATCTTTATTCTGTCAGAGTTTGTGTCATTGAAATTTCAATTAGTATTGAACTAGGTTGTGAATATCACTGCTAGATTTTCTGTTTATTGTTAGCTAATTATCTACATGTTCAACTTGATAATTTGATTTCTAATCATTATTTATTGCAAATATTTTATTGGAAATATTTTTTAATAATTATTGGAAGTTTTTAATGACAAAGATTCATAATTTTTTTTCATTTTCATCATTGGCGGCAAATGCAAAACTGATTTTCAAAAATTTTCCCAAAAAATTGGGCTTATAGGACTTTTTAAATTTAAAACTATTATTTGATGACACCCACAGCATTACAGCGAACAGTAAATTTGATACTTTTTAATCCAAAATACATAGTCATGAAATTTGAGAATCTAATTCACAAGGTGTAATGTTTTGTAGCCATTCTGTGAAGCTCAAAAACATTTGTCATTTGCCTATTTGGTTTGATGCAATTTTTGTTTGAGAAAAAGAAGTTTTGTTATTGGTTTCTGCTTCTAATAGCTGGTTTATCTTCTCCTCCCACCACTCAGGGGACGGTGACTTTGTTGGGTGGCAAGGTAGGCTCCTCCCTCATACCTCGTCCCTGTTGCATCATCATCCAATAATTCAACTTGGTTCAATTTGTCATTTGATTACCACAACGTTGACTCACTCTCGACTCACTCGTCTCTCATTACAGACACCTTTGCACGTTTCAATAGATTGCTACAGGCAGACAGACTTGTATGCATCTCATTAGCCAAAGCCACTCGCAAGTCTTGATAGATGCATGGCTAGAGGCAGCCAGACTCATATGCCTCTCATTAGCCAGAGCCGCTTACAAGTGTTGATAGATCGTGCAAGTCTGATATTGGTGCTTGCGGATCAAAAGCTGATGAGAGGCTGAGTGCCATGGTCAGTCAGGACCATTGTCAATATTGTGATCAGTTCACATTGGCACAGTATTTTCCAAATTTGTGACCATGATTTTTAATTAAATTATTCCTACAATTTATTTGAAGTAGCCAGAATTATTCTGGTGAATGATCCGCACCTGTCCCAAGGCAACCTGGCAGGGCTCTCATGCGGTAGTGATGACTAGTTTGAGTGCACGAGAGTCAACATTTTGGTAATGGAATCTTGGTTGATTTGCATTTAGTCTACTAGTTTATCCATCACGCCTGACCTATTGATTTTGAGCTTGTACATGCGCATTATGTTATAACTTGTGTCAAGTTATAGCATAGATATGGATAATTTTACTTGTAAAACTTTTTCTATGTGCCAGATTCAAGACAAAGACAGTGAATAGATTTATTGTAGCCTGCATTTTTGCCTGCTTTGCAATCAAACAAATTATGCTGAAAACATTATCATTTAAAATCCCCTAGCTTGTTCCCCTTCTTGAACTTTTCAATTTTCATTCAAAACAACATGGAATAAATTATGAAGTGCTGAAATCTTCTTAGTGCCTATATGCTCATTTTTACATCCTAATCATTTGCATTAATGAATGAATTAATGTTGCTTATTTTATTTTTGCATCTTATTCATAATTCGGTCCTCTCATTGTGGTATTGACCATTGATGAATGCTTCTCTTACTGTTTCTTTTATTTACTGTACTTACATTTCCTACAAACTTATTTATTTTTATTCTCAGCTTTAACGAGTTCTTCATCACCTGCGTTGTAGCTTATTCTACCCCAACTCGTTCTCTCATTGATAATGCAAATCAACTCCCATCTACTCATTCTTTCTTAACTATTCAATCTATTATCAGTTTTCTTATTGAAAATTCTTTTCCTATTGGAAAGACTCAAATTCTTGGTAACCAAATACTGTCCATCATTGAACTGATCAGCAATTTTTTTTGCTGAAGGTCTTTGCAATGAACAGTGTACTTCTTGACCATTGAGTATCACTATCATAAAGAGTCAAAGATTTACTTTCAATGGCACTTGGTATATTACAGGTAATTTTATAGCTGGAAACAATTTTCTGAGCTAACTACTACCAACTTCGAGTAAAAATGTTTTAGCTTGTCTGTGCCTCATGCCACCCCTGTGATGTATACCTAGCATCCTATCTACCTAACACTCAGGCTAATGCAATCTTATGAGCTCTGCAACTTTCAACAATACTTTCACAGCTACAAAGAAGTATAAGCAATCTTTAACCATTATGTTGTGTGAAAGCTGATATTTTTATTCAAAGTGAAGGTTAAGTAGCCAGCTGGGCTGGGTAGATGTTCTCACCTTGTCAAAGTTAAGGCTTTTTCCATGGCAATTTAATCTAACGTAAATTACACTCTTTTTATTCAACAATGTTTCAGTTTGTAATTTGCAGGTCTGCTTTCTTTCTAATGATTTTTCACTTCTATAAGCTTCTTTTCTGTTTAATTTCAATGAGATCCATGGAACATGGAATGGAAAATGGAAAAGTTTCCAATAAGATCTTGGAACTTGTTTTAAAAGGTTTGCTTATTTATTTGTGCCTTACACTTGTATTGCTGCCATCATATTGCTGCTTGTTCATCACCAATGCCTATTGCCAGCTCACTGCCTAAGAAGTCATTCGTGTTTCTCAGTAATTTTAACTCAGCCACAATTCATTTTCTTGGTGGTCTTTGTTACATGGATTCTAGATGGAAAGCTGACCCAAGCGCATCAAACCATTCTAGGGATGCCACTGCACATGGCGCATGCCATTACAGCTTTTTAAGAAAAAGTCCTTCCTCTTCCTTGCTGTTTATCTTGTAAAAAAAACTTAATTTCATTAATATTACATGGTTTTGCTTTTGTTCAACTCCATTCATTAGATGTTAGATGACATTTTACTGGAGCTTGCTGCATGGAAGAGGCTGCATATTTGTGCAGTTTCTTTTATAAGCAAAGGTAATATTATTTTTAATTTGAGAGCTTTTTTGCTACTCTCGGTTTATGCATCAAAAGTTGCATAAAAAGCAGACTGACAATGACTCTTGTGATCACATGAAATTGTTGAGCATTCACTGTTCATCATTCACTGAAAAACATGCCACTTAAATTCTGGCATGAGTGCAGTGAATTTCAATTTAAATTGACAAATCTTGACACTATTAATTTTTGGCATTTGCTGATGAGTATTTACTTGACTTTTTGAGGGTAAATGGAGGCCCTGAACTAGAATCATCCTTATATTCATCTATGACTTCCCAATTTTTCTACGCTGATCTGATTTAGATGGCTTATCATGGCAGTTGCTTTCAGCATTTCATGTAATTGTAAATGTTGTATTTGTTCCCTCAGTGAAGCATACCAATATGTTTCATTATCTATATTAGCATGTCTGGACAATGGCTAGTTAGTTATTTGACTCTTACAAAAGTTTTTGCATAGCCCTATGTTTGCTACGTGTTGTCTAGGATTTGTTCTTAGTTACCTTGACTTGTTAAGGGGACCGGCTACCCTAAAATTTTCAATTTTGGCGTTTTTTGGTTTTTGTGCTCATCTGAAAGCTGGAATTCTGCTCTTTCCAATGGTACCACTGCCGTCGCTGTACGCCAATATTTACGTTCATGACGTCTCTTTAAAGGGAAGCGGATGAGAGAGTTCTTTAAGTAATTAGATATAAACTAATTAGCTGCTGGAATCTTTGAATATAGTTTCTACTTGAGTTGGGCTGCAGTTTCATGCTTAGTCTCATCTTAAAGCTGACATTCTGAGCTTTCCAACGATACTACTGCGATCCATGTACGGCAATATTGACGCAGATGGCCGGGCTTTAATGGGGGGCGGGGGGTGGAGTTCCTTCACTAAATAGACCTAATAAAATTAGAGCGGCAAGACTACATATCTTGGTGTATCTGGCATCTGTGCTCAGTTACCCTCCTAACATTGTACGTAGAGGTGCGCTACAAGTTGCTGCTAGCATCCTTGAGTGGATTAAGCTACAGAAGCCTGTAGTTTGGTATCCATTCTACATTGAGTGCCTATTTCGAGGCGCATGGGACTTTGTCGCGCCGTCCTGAAAAGTTTGAAAAGTTCAACTTATTGTCACGGAAAACCTATCTCCTCCTACAGTTTTCAAGCTACAGCAATGAGACATACACCATTCGATTCGTAAGGAAATTACCTAAAAATTTGATGATCATTTTTTTGAATTTCTGTCTGGTTCGTTTTTTATATGGGGGAGAAGGAGGGGGAGGGGGGAAAAATGAGAAAAATGGGATAAAACGCGCATAAAAAAAACTAAGGGGAAAATGAGAAAAGTGATCATCAAATTTTTAGGTATGGTCCTTACGAACCGAATGATACGTTTCTCGATGTTGTAGGATGATATTTGTAGGAGGAGATAGATTTTCTAATGTACCTCTTTTTAGCCGTTTTCTATGAATTTCACGTTTTCTATAAATTTTTTTGAAAAATTTATAGAAGCAAAATGTTCTTATTTTTACATTTTACGTATGTATGTGAAATTTCATGATGATCGGATAATAACTGTAGAAGTTTTTCCGGAGGGTAGCCGGTCCCCTTGAGTGACGTGCATTGTAAAGAAAATATATTCCACACAAGATATCTTAGGCGCCTGCCATCACTAGATTCATGGTGCCTCTTGGTGGTAAACCTTGCATTTCTTTATGATACTTCATGACTTGCATGCGCCATGCATCATGCAAGCCATGATGTGCCATGCATCATGCAAGCCATGATGTGCCATGCATCATTCAAGCTGTGATGTGCCACGCATCATACAAGCCGTGATGTGCCATGCATCATGCAAGCCGTGATGTGCCATGCATCATGCAAGCCATGATGTGCCATGCATCATGCAAGCGTGATGTGCCACGCATCATGCAAGCCATGATGTGCCATGCATCATGCAAGCAAGCATGATGCGTAGTCATGACTTTTGCAATTTAGCTCTGCTGCACTGCTTTGAAATTCAGTTTAAAATTTTGTTTGTTTAATACTTCATCTTGTCAACCTTCTGCATCACTTCAACAAGACTGTCCTATCTTCACTTCCTATCTTTATCGAAAAGAACATCACAACTTCATTAGCGTTTTAATTAAATTAATTTTAATTCATTAATTAAATTCTTTGTTCTGTGACCAGAGAGCCAACTGAGACTCCTGGCACACCCAGCCTTATTATGTTCTCATCAGAAACACATTGCTGGTAGAATAGGATTCTAAAAAAAATTGTGTTGCAAGGCCCTTAGTTTACCCTCACAGTGATATTTCAAATTAAATACTTCTTTAAGTCACAATTTCTTTCATTTTAATTTCTCTATAAATTTTTTACTTTGCTGCTTTTTTTAATTCCGATGGATCCTCCAATCAACTTTTAATATTGGCTGCTAAGTATTACATGAAAATATTCTTTCATTCATTATATTGCCATGGCCAGCTAAGTTTAATTATTGTTCCTCCCTAAAATAGAAGCTGTTTTGCAATTAGTATTACTCCATACTCACAAATACAAGTTAATTTTAATAAAATGTTGAGGTAATCAACATCAAATAAACATGTTCATTAGCATCAAGACAAAGTAAGATCAATATGTTCAGTTTCTGCCTTTTGTCAGCATTGCAATAAAATCTTCTAGCTTCATGTTTATTGTTTGCCTGCTCTGTTATGTTCATGTAATTAGCATCATCTTCACTACTGCTATCCCATGAGATGTTTAAAGCTTGCTGTCATTGTAAGTGTTGACTGCTGTGTTGGGTACTAATTCTACCTGCACATTACAGGTATGAACCCACGAATGGGAGGGCCCAGGGGGCCAGGAATGGGCCCAGGCCCTGGTATGGGACCCATGGGTCCTGGTCCATACGGCCCTGGCATGAGAGGGCCTCCACCCAGCAGTATGGGGCCAGGTGGCCCCGCAGGTCCAGGTATTCCCCCCATGAGCATGAGTGGCGGTGGCCCCAGACAAGCATGGACACCCAACACATCCACGGTACGTTCTGGTTTCTTAGTATCACTTGTTATCCCATATTTAAATGATTAGTTTTATGAATAATCACACACGGTACACCGTAAGCATTAATGTTTTTGTATATCCAATACTTCTTAGTTAATCATTTTTATAGAATCTACCGCTTTGAGTCTTGTTCTTGAATATGTTAGTAAGTAACGAATGTCTCGCAATTTACTGTCCTGCATTGTTTAAGATAGCCATGTGCTGCTGCCTTTGTTGACTCTTACTGATCGTCAACAAGAGTTGCTACTGGTGCTTAAGAATTCATATAGGCTGTGATCATCTAAATCGACATTCATACATTTTCGTGCATCGTGCATATTGTTAGGATAAGAGTACTGCAGTCAAGTTTCAGTTGCAATGCATTCCTGTTGATTGTTCCTGTTGTTGATTGTTGCAATGTATTTCTGTATATTTCTAATAACGAATGTTTATCACCCACAGCCTATGAGTTATTCGTCGTCTTCACCGGGCACTTACGGCAATATGATGGTGAGTTCGCTTGGCTCTAGAGTTGATCACTTGTTCGCCTTTGTTAGCTTTTCATCCTACTTCCACCTAACTTCTCTGTTTGGGTTGTAATATTCTCATCTCTTATGAAGCCCCTATCATGCATTGCACCCACACATGCAAAAAAGTTATTGGTCCTGCGTTTTTTTGCGGAAACATATTATTATTGTCTTTATGTTTATTCATGATGTAATTTTCCATTACGACATTTTGTAAAAGTCGGTAAAAAAGTTCTATTTGTTACAGTGGATACTTCTGCATATAAAATGCTACATATTATGTGATCAAACAATATATGATTGTATAAAATTTTCTGTGATATTAGGCTGTATGAATGAATAATCAATTTTCTTCTTTGTCTCGTTGTAGTGATAGCAATGCCAGAGTTTGAATGTATAGCAGAGATGGGGCTGTGTGAGGGCAGGGGCGCTTGGTGTCAAGTAATGGACGGATGAGATGTGAATATTTCGTACAGGGGAAAGGTGTTGAGGGTTTATGTGCGATGAGGTGTGACGGAAACTGTGGATAGGCCTGATTTTGGACGGTCTATATGAGAAAAACGAGTTATGATGACAGTGATTCTACATGAGGAGTACCTAAGGGATGAAAGTAATGGTGCGGGGTATGATGAATTTATGGTATGGTACGAGGTATGATAGAACAGAGGACAGTGATTGTGACTTAGTGAGAGGGAGCAACTGTGGCTGTAATTTATAGAGCGAGTGAAATAAAGGAGAGGAGGAGAATGGGAAGAACAGAGTTAATAATTGATAATTTTTAATCATAATCCGAATGATGCCTTTTTCTCTTCGGAAGGTTTCATCTTTCCCTGCCCAGGGCCCCCCGGGCTCCGGTCCCCCCGGCCCCGGCACCCCCATAATGCCCAGCCCACACGGTCAGTGTTGTGCCGCGCATTATTTAGCAGTTTATCCAATACACTTTCACCCTCAATCTATTGTAACTCGCTAGTTGTTAGTATTGTATTTATAAAATTATTGATTAAAATTGATGACGGTCGCGTGTTGCTCATGTGGTTCAAAGTTAGCTCGAATGCAATTTTGTTTTTTTTTGGGGGGGGGGAAGGTTTATTGTTTGAGGTAACAAGTCATGTTCATATCGTTGGCTAACTGTTGATTCTTGTGCCTGAACGGTTGCTGTACCAGTAATTAGGAGCCTCTTGTCTTACGACTTTATAGCTCCGTATCATATCCTACTCATTCATTTTCTGTTGTTAAGTTGGTGTAGTGTTTCATACGGCCTCTTGAAGTTCAGTATCACATTCAAGCAGGATATAACTTCTTATTTTGCCTTTTATTCATCTACAAGTTTCCAGTTTAACTACATCTATGAATTTTTAGCATCAGTTATGCTTTTTCTAACATTTTTTGGGGACTTTTTTCGGCTGTTTCTAGTTATCTTTCATTGTAGGGACCAGCATTGGTCTACCTGCTCGTGTCCAGCGTTTGCCTTGCAAGAATTATAAGTAGCTGATGTAACTAGAGAGCGGGAGTAGCTAGTAAACCTGTGCAATTAAAAAAAGAAGAAACTAGTTGAGAAACCTCTAGGATGAAAGCAGCTGCTACTGGTCTAGAATGAAAGTGGCTGGGAAACATCTAAAATGAAATAAACTGAAAGTACAAGAGCTTGCAGAGCTCTCAAATGTTACTAGACAGTAAATATTTTGAATCAAATTAGCTGGAAAACCTTTACAATAAATTTACATAAAGTAGCTGCTAGAGCTGTAAAATAAAACTAGCTGGTAAAGATTTAAAATGAAATTGGCCCGAAAATCTCCAGACTTGAAGTAGCTGCTATTGGTTTAGAATGAAATTGGCTGGAAAATATTAATGGTGAAAGTAACTTGTTAAGCTCTGTAATGAAATGAGCTAGTAGAGCTCTTGAATGAAACTAGATATTGAAGCTCGTGAATGAGATTAGCTGGTATAGCTGTGGAATGGAAGTTAAGCTCTAGAATAAAAGTAGCCTGTCAAGCTTCCAGTATGTTCTTAACAAATTGTAATTATTCTTCTATGACCAATGCCAATACCTAGTTAGAAATTAGCCTGTAGTAAAATCCTCTTGCTTGCTTTCGCTGATGCTCTGATTGGCGTGGCTTTCTCAATGAACCTGTGAAGACTTATGCTTTTATATGGAATGCTTTTCATGTTACAGATTGTACTTGCTATCGCCACTCAGATCAGGTACTTCATTCAATGTATTCAGAAATTATACGTCGTTAATTATTAGTTTGCGTAGATAGAAGTTGTTTCGACGTATGTAGTATTGTTTCATGTTCATTCGATGTCGCTGATGACAGGTTTATTTATTTTGTATTCATTTTGTTTATTCATTTGTACGGGATTTCTGTGGTGCTTTGCCAATTTTTTATTGATGTCTCATTGACATTATTGATGTCCTCGCAAATTGTTCGTTTATACATATGAGCAAGGTTCTTCTGACTTGAATAAAGCATCCGTTCAATTTATATATATTTTTTAATTCTTCACGGCGTTTTTGTTAGTTTTGCTGTCCTCTCACTTTTCACTGTTGTTGGCTCGCGCAGTATAGCCGAGACCGGAGCCAGCGTTCAACTTCACTTGGGCTTCCCCTGAGGTCTATTGTATTGAGGGTTGTTGGGTTACGTCTGAGGTCTATTTAGGGTTGTTGGGTTGTTGACGCATTGAAGATTGAGGCGCATCGTCGGCAAAGATGACAGTCGCTGCAGCAGATGTTGCTCACATTATTGTTGACCTAGCTTTTGTATATAACTGTTAAGGAGAATGCAATGACCGGAACAAAGGTGGGCCTGCTTCTGTCAACTTGCGAGTTAATGTTCACGTTATTATTTTATTGCCAGTCATTTAGCATTGAAATTGCGAGGCTTTGGGTTGGACGGAGTAATTGTCAGTTTTGATGGTTGTTCCGTTTGTATCTATTGGGGGTATTGGTCAAATGGTGTTGATGTATTTGATAAGCTGTCCTTGGCGGAGTGCTTAAACCGTTACCATTTTGAAGGGTAGCGGTTTAGGTACTGTCATTTGGTGGTATAGGTGTGTTGTAATTTGAGGCTCAGACATCATCTGTAGATGATATCTGAGGTGAGTGAGTGAAGGCGGTTGAAGTGGAGTGACCGGATCGGAAGCCGTTGGTCGCCCATAGGTGGATGTTCAGTCTTGATGGGCAACAGTCACCGTTCCTGGACTTGGATCACGGGGTAAAGCAGTGAAATTGTTTAACAGATTTTTACATCGTTCTCAAAATTTTTCGGTTTGAGAAATTTTAATGTTAATGGGGAACTTGCAGATATCGAGTACCTGGCGAGTGCCTATATAAATGGCATGTTCAGATATGCTCGCTGAGAAGATTGGTCTGGTAGGCAGTTTCAAGTGGTCTCAGGTATATGAGGTAGAAAATAGAGAGTTTATCTGGCCCTCGAGGGTCGGGGTGGTCTATATCCTCTAGGACGTTTTGAAGGAGGGACGGTAAGAGAGGTTAAGGATCTTTAACTCTATTGAGTTTGTTGGTGATGTGTTGGGTGAAGGAGGTGAAGAGACTGTTGACACTTTTTGTTGTTAGTGAGTTATCCGTTGAAATTGATGGCGTTGTTGGGTCACTGTTCTGGTTTTCCGGCTATAAATTTTATTTATTGACCTGATGTGCTTGACGTTGATGTGGCGGTTGAAGTATACTTTAAAACGTATTTTTGTTTGGTTATTAGTGAGTTGGTAGGGTCGACATCACGGAGGTTACATCGCTGCAATGCGAGGTTGATGATATCTTCGAGAGGTCAGGTTTTGAGTGGATGTTGTGGACAGTATCATATGTTATAGTTACTTGCAATGATTAAAATTTGACGATATTTTTTGTCGACAATGACAGAATAGATTGAGAGATGGTGTTATTGAAGATGGCTTCGGCTGTGTCCAAACTGCGACAGCTGCAGATGATTCGTGATGCGTGCGGGCTCAGCATTGGTGTAAACTTTTGTCTGGGCTATTATGCTCATTGTTGCTGTACTTGAACGCAATTTGTATCGTTGTAAGCAATTATTCAAAATATACACTAAGGAGTGATATGTATTGTAAGAATTAGTGCTGGTGTTCGCACATAATAAGTGTTTTAAAGTCATTACAAATGAGTAGTAACTTGAGTTCATACAAACCTCAACTGCATCTTCTGGCGATGTCTTTCCTCTATTGTTTTGTTGATGGTCAAAGCACCAGATGAGTTTCCTCTGAGATCACCATAACAAGCACAAATTTGCCGAGTATGTGCATTTTCCATAAAATTAGTCTTAATATATCTGGTCGAATTTTCTTTGGCACCGATGTTACTTTACGTACTGCTAATTCTTCTCTTATGTGCACTTAAGAGATGTTGAATTTCCTGCATTGCTGTGTACTTTTACCATCCTAAATATGATTGTTTTTGCTACTGAATATTAAGAGACTTCGATATGATGGGCCTAAGAAGAGAGGCAGTGTGCAACACTGAGTTCATTTAGCCAAATGTTCAAATATTCTTCAATTATAACACCGGCTCGATGTGTGTAATTGATTGTTCATAGTTTTCTGTACGTGGATTTACCTATAAACAAGTTGTTAGCAATTCTGTCGGTGTTGGTATAATTGCAGCTAAGGAGAATTAGACGCTAGGGTTAAGAAAAACTCAACTTCAGCTTTATTGAAATAAAGAATGTTTGATATTGCAGACACTGGCAGCGGTGGAGCGGACGGCATGTTCTCTTTGATGAAACCTGGAGGCCCGATGCCTGGGGTGAGTGTCTACACTGTTAGAAAAACGGTGAAAAAACGGTCCCACTGGCGTTCTAGTGGCCGGTCGCCCCGTGAAAATAAACTGTTTCGCCGTTTTTATCAAATGTTTAACTGATTTCTAGTGTCAAATTAGAATAAAAACGGCGACATGGTGTTTCTTTTCACGTGCCGACCGGCCACTGAAACGCCGGTAATACCGTTAACGGTAATTTTTCTAACAGTCTAATAAATGCTTGCTGAGCCCCAACACATAACACGGAATTATACGGCCTCGCGAACGCATGAGCTACGATGCCAGATCACGTCAAGTTTCTCAAGGTCGAAGTTATATTTCTCGTTGCTACGAGAGGGTTAGATAGGTTTGATGGTATTTCTTTTGATTTCTTTTCTTCTAAGAACTTTTCACAAATTTCCTTTCGACGCTGCAAGTGAGAGTCGTAAGTGTTGTGTTTTGTTCGGGATATTCAATGCAAGGATGCCATCAGCTACAGTCCACTGCTGCTGCTGGGCAAGCCTACTACCTACTATCTTCTTTGTGTAGCTCCTATATAGATAGGCACATTTATTAGCCTCATATTGGCTTTGATAAATCAATATATAGATATAGCTCATAGGTAGCCATATTTATAATATAGCTACCTAAATAGGCCTATATAGTAGGTGCCTCCTATTTTGCTCTTTGTTGCTTCGTGCGTGTCTTCTAAAAACTCTCGGACATATTTACCAAACCGTAATGACCATTAAACTTTTCTGCTATTATCATACAAATAAATTTATGTAAACTTATACAGACGAAATGATGAAAAATGAAATTTACTACATTTATTGTGCAAATTTATATAAATTTTTCAATCTTATCTCCATAACTTAGCAAGACGGGCAGTTGTAAACCCGTATGATGCAGCAACCTAGCAATTTATGCTGCATGTGTTTCTTGGAGCTTCTGTGTATGACGCTCTCGTATAAGGCGGTCCAGAGTGAACAAATGTAGCAAATTTTATTCAAATTACTGCTCGCCTTGTACTCCTAAATACTGACTCACTGAACAGCAATAAACCTAAGTAATTGAAAACCAATCTTTATAGTTGAAGCTTTTATTAGAGATCACGGAAAGTGAGATTTATTCCGCAAGTACCCGGTAATGCTATTATAAGTAATTTTAAAATATAGTTTACATAGTTTTAGGTAGTTTTTTTATTGCACAGAGTGACCAATGCGGTCATTTTAAAAATATTGTACTACTCACTATAAAAACCAGATGTTTCTTTTTTCTGGTACTTTTTTCAGATTTGCCTATTTTTCATGTGGTGAAATCGGCCGTATTGATGTTGGAAAAATTTTAGTCGACTTCTTGTTAGGCTAAATTGTCTGACGTTGAATGAATGCAGTTAAGGCTGCCGCCAAAGGCCTATTTCGCTCGAGGTGCAGGTGTAGAGACGTGGCGCTGACATATAGCAGGAGTTTCTGATGTCTGGCGCTGACATATAGCAGGAGTTGCTGATGTCTGGCGCTGACACTGTCACATTGCAGGAGTTCCCGATGTCTGGCGGCGGTGGTAGTGATGGCAGCGGCGGCATGGGTGGCGGCCCTGGGCTTGGCGGGCCCGGAAGCGGAGGCATGGGCCCTGTCCTCAACGGTGACGGTCTTGACGGCATGAAAAGTTCCCCAGCAAACGGCCCTGGCACCCCTAGGGATGACGGGGGAGGAGGGGGCATGGGCGATTACAGCCTATCAGGATTTGCGGGAGCACCGCAGGACAGCGTGAGTTTGCTCGAGCAGCTGTCCGGGTAGCGACGCGTGGCCTGAGGACGCCGCGCGTGTACGCCGCACTTGTTCTCTCGGTTGCAGCGAAGAAATCTCCTGTTGGGAGCAGTTCCGTTCTCAGGGATGAGCTGCGCAGTGCACTTCTCGGCTGCTCTTCATCTCACTTGCCAGCTTATTGCTTAGTGCTCTGCACCTTTCTTGCCTCTTCACCTACCTCTCTATTGATGCACTCATTCCAACATCTTAACATCTTACGTTTATTGGTCGATAGTTTTGCAGTTCAAAGCGGATGATTGCGTAGTTTCCAGAAGAAATTTGTGTCCTTTCAGAGCTTATTGCGTGGGTAGGCCCAAAGAGTTTTGTTCATTTTCAAGAGTTATTTGCCTTTTTTTCTGGCGTGCGTTTCTAAGCAGAGTAGTAAGCGCTTGAGGAAGGTATCAATGCTTTGGATAAATTGTTTGCGTTCCACACGCTAATCGCCTAATGAGCATTGCCACGTTTCCGATTTGTAGTTATAGTAAAATAATAGCCTAGGCATCTTGAGGAATTACGTTGAGCGCAGAGACGACTGATTTTGTACCGAAACCTTTAAAGGATGCAAGTGAAGCTTTGTTCGTGGTATGATTTATGGCTGCTGAAGGTGTGGTCGGCACAGCTATTAAAGAAATAGTGCATTTCAGAGCGCCGTATATTCCCTGTAGCTTACTTTGTGGAACGTTTCTTTCTAATCATCATACTTTGTAGCCTGCTAATATCTTAGTTTTTTTTTAATTTGAGAAATATGCAATAATGTGTATGCATTCAAAAATGGGCGTATAAAGTAGCTGCCGGTAACAGGCTCCAGAATATTAGGTATGAAATGAATAGCAGAAATCAGTCAAGAGATTATCAAAACCCACGTACAATCCCAATCGATCATCTCCAAAACGTCATTTTTAAATAAGTTTGATGGTTGCTGAACAATGCAACGTACTGACCAACAACTTGGTACGTCTTGGTCTAACTGTTTTTGTGTTGCCAAAAGAAGAGTTTAGTATAATTCCTCGGACAATTTCTTCCTCCTTATAAATCAGAGATTTTCGATATTCACAACGTAATTGTACTCTCATTCAGTAACTCACCGTTTCTGTTATTCTCAGTATTTTGAAAGAATCTCGAGTCGACACTCAAAATTCAGGAAACTTATTGTTGAAGCCATCGGAGCAGACAGGTCGCCGTCCCATAGCTCCAGCACTCGCGTTGTTTTTCTTGAACAAATTGCACTTACAACTCTGGCGGTTCAATGTTATCCTCTTTACTTGATGTTATAATTATTACCAAAATGGATGTACCAACGATTTAGAATGAATCTCATTAGTTGATGAATTTCTCCTTCATCTTGAAATGAATATAAAATTCAAGTGAACGGTTTGTTAATTGTTGTTTGTGTGTCCGGGTCGACGAATTATTTCTAGACGTAGGGAACTTATTGTGTATAATTAAGATTATATCTATTGATTTCAGCTACGAAACAGTACCTTGTTTAATGTTCTACAGCAGCCATAACGAAGTGGTCGTTCGTTTTCCGTACTCTTGTTGAAATTAACATCAAATATCACTTTTGCCCAATGGAGAAATGAACTATTGAGTGCCTTCATATTTGCTCCTCGCCTATTGGTCATTTCTGATGACGCTGGCTGTATGGAATCTCATTTCTATTCTCACGCCCAATAACTTTACTGAATTATTCTTCAGCCGCAAATTACACTAAATATTTTTTCATACTTAATTTTTCAACTTATTTCCTTGATGATGCAAATTGAAGTTTTTTTTTCGTTGATGCCTCGAAATTATGGGTAAGCCTAATTACCTACTCCAGCGAAAGCCTATTTGCGACCCGCCTAAGAAATTGCATCGAACGTTGTAGGCAACATTTCTGGGAACGAGCGCCGTGTAATTTCATATCTAAAGTCTGTGATCGTTCGATGATAAACTCTAGCATCTTCTAGACCCACTCCATATATTTTCGGCTTCTTTTCAGCTGCCATTTAAACCAAGTTTTCTGTTAGTTATTGATGAATTCTTGTGTTGTAGCCCAGCATCGTGGCAACGAGCAATTTCTTGCCCGTCTGAGATAAGAACTCTCATTTACCTCTCCGTGGTTGCTGCTTGGTCCTCTAGGCGTCCCGGTCTTATGTTTCTTATAGTCTGGGAGTTTTTATACCTCAGCTCCTTTTAGCGCATTTTCTCATTTATGGAAAAAATGCACTATTGTGCTCGCCATGTCCGTCTGTCTATTTGTCCGTCCGTCTGTCCGTCCGTCCGTGACCTCAAGTTTTCGTCGACGAGAAAATGCGCTCTCTGTCACTCACTGCAGGGAGTACTGAGTTATATTTTTTTTATATTTGGTGAAATGTCGTTCCTCACTTTTTGGATTCCCCTTTTTGATGTGTTGCTCTTCGCACTTCTTAATCTTCTTATTTCGAGACATGCTGCTTCGTATCTTCTTCGTCCCTTCGTGTTTATTTGGCTTTCCATCTTCTTGATGCACCAGAACGTTGTACAGTGAAGGCCTCTTATTTGTGCACGCAGCGTCTAGATCATTAAATAGGTTGTGTGTGTATAACGGAACAAGTTTAAGATTGGGGTTTATTTTCACTTCTCTATGTGAGCAAATAATGAGGATAGGCTTGGAATTTCTTCTTAGATGACAAATCAAACATAGTCACGTTTTGTACTCTATGTAAGGTAGACTAAACGATGTTTGAATATATTGATGGAAAATATAAAACGTCATGAACATTACCACGCTGTCTAATGGGATATAGGTATTGATCAACATCATCTGAAGCAAACAATCTAAACAAAGCTACTGATAGTTTAAAATTAAAAGTTAACGGTTTTAGATTGGGTCAGTGTTTTCTATTAATTATCAATCGTTGGTGAGTGGTTTGCTGTAATGACTCTGCACTGTCTTATTCATAGATCAATCCACATAAGTTTTCAAGTGAAGTGTCCTTTTCGTTACCATGGCAGTGATTTTGAGCGTTAATTGCAGTGGCGTTAGTAACAACCAACGCTGGGTTTAACTTGACTCTTATATGCCAAGTTGTTCTCTCGTCGCCTTCTTATTTATCCTTATTTATTGGCACACACGGTCTCAGGACGATTTCTTCACATCCTGAATATCGTCAATAGCGTTGGCGCGTTGAAATATTCTTTGTATAGTTGCACGTCTCGTAGGATTACAATGTATGGTACAAAATTGCAACTCTTTGAATGTCGCATTATTCATCCTTTATCTCATAATGTGTCAAAATATTTCAGATTTGCTGTTCAAAATTGGATTTAGTGGCAAAGTGAAACTCTGTTTATTGGTTTCGTTTCATTCATCAGTTTTTAATAACGCTTAGATTTGCCCTTAAAAATTGAATCTGTTTGAGTATGAAGCCTCGCTGGCTGACAGGAAGCCTGGCGTGGGGTCCGCTGCTAGAGTCTGGGCATCTTGACAGTAGCGAGCCTCTGCTGTGCGTGCGATCGTGTCTTGCATTTCCAGCATCTGTACAATACTACGGCGCTCTCGGTGCTGGCTTCTTTTGTCTATATTCACTCCTGCGGACCATTCCCGTTGTACTTATGTAAATAGCTTGTCGTAGTCATCTTAGGTGTCTGCATATAGAACTGTCATCTCATCTTCTCGTATAGTTACATGCAGACAATGGTTGTGAGGTGGTGGCAGCGACAGCGTCTTAGGTCGAGCTGATCTCTGCAGCGTGAGCCTCGCACTTCACTTCTCGCTATTCAGTTGATTCCTCTTGCCTTTAATGGCTTCTTTCAATTGAAATTTACAAATCTTTTCTCACGTAGAAAGTAATTGTTTCAGTGTTGGTATGCATAAGAAAATAAAATCTCAATACGTGGTCTCGTATGCCTGCTGAACAAGTTCTTGGTTATTTTACCCAGGTTCTGAGATTCTTAATGTTATTGCTTAGTGAACGAGTTTATCAGTTCTGATACTTTTATTACTGTTAGGTTGCCCTTTAATTTTCATACAAGCATAATGCCGATACATTGTGAATAAGAATATAATAAATACGGCAGTTGTGAAAAATCTGCAGCAATAAGTATTTTAAAACGTTTTTGTTCAGAATCTCATCTTAAAAACAAAACGTGATATGTGCGTCTGAACATATCACATCACCGTCAGTGCTGGTGGTAATGTGGCTGCCCGGGTGGGATGAAAGCAGCGATTTCGTGGCCGCTTGTTCTTATTGAAACTTGCTTGAAAATTCAGTCGAAGTATAGACAAATCTTGTACTCCAGTGACGTATTCCTTACCAGGCGACTTGCTTAGTCTCGTGAAGATTTTTGGCTGGAATTTCTCAGCGCAGAACGTTGTCAAGCGAAGAGGTCGACTTGTAAACTCATGTGAAAACTTTCATTTGAGGAGTAGAATTGTCGAGTTAGAAGTATGTTGCATAACCAAAATACCCTTTTGTGAACGTATAGCTACAATATGTGTGGTTATTTGACTTGGGTGAATTACTTGTTTGTTTGGCTTTTCTATTATTTAACCTATTGAGCGGCCTGTTTGTCGCAATGTTAATGTGTTATGGTTCAAAATAGCGTATGTACTCTTGGGTTCGTTATAACCCCTACGTCTGGTAGTGAACGCAGCGGCAATTGCGTAGTCTGGTCTCTGCTCTCAATTCATGAAATGAACGCATTCATTTTTGCTCGTGTCATCGTGCTCTCTAGAACAATCATGTAATGAATAAAATTGGTATGTCTCACGCCAGTGAAAAATAAAATCACATTTCTCTTTTATTTGACAGTTATTCCATCCATGACCATCCTAGTGAGCGAAACTGTGTCTGCTGTTTATTTTAAGGGAACTCGTGTCCATTATTAATGCCTAATAGACATGCCGCTACCTTATCGTATTTGCTTCGTCATTTCTGCTTCTAGGAGAGAAACTAAAATTAATTTCAATATGGGAAGCAAAATTTTGAAGCGAG